TATTTTCTGGAATATTACAGCTGTAATAAACAAAAATAGCTTAAGAAGCAGGGGTCAGCAGGAACCCCACCCAGTCTCCAAAGTTTGGACTTCATACTAGGGCTGGGTCAAATGAAGAAAAGTTAGATTTTTATTTGTTTATTTTTTTCCCCCAAAAAAGGTTTGATTTTGATTTTTTTATGACGATGTGAAAATTTTTTTATTTTATATATTATATTAATTTTTATATTTATATTATATTTATAATATATTTATATATATATTATATTTATTATATTATATTTTTTATATTATTTTCTGGAATATTACAGCTGTAATAAACAAAAATAGCTTAAGAATCAGTGGTCAGCAGGAGCCCACCCAGTCTCCAAAGTTTGGACTTCATACTAGGGCTGGGTCACATGAGGAAAAGTTAGATTTTTATTTATTTTTTTCCCCAAAAAAGGTTTGATTTCGATTTTTTTATGACGATCACAAAATCCCTTTTTTGTATTTTTTATATTATTTTCTGGAATATTACAGCTGTAATAAACAAAAATAGCTAACTAGCTATTTAGGTTTCACATATTTTATATTTTTCCCCCTCTTCCCACAACCAGTTTCCCGATGTATCTATCTTTTTTCAGAAGTCTTCCCACCTTTGTGTCTATGTGTCTGTGTTTAGTAAGGTCTCTGTACTGGGGCTGTACTAGATTCAGAATATCCTGAAAGAGCAATTCCATGGGATAGATAAAGTTGAGTCTAAAGTGAAATTCTTTGTTTATTATTATCATTGCTTCCTTTCAGAACAGGGTGGGAGCTAGGTCTTTCTCAGAAATGGTGAATTATATATCTATCTATATCATATGAGGAATTTTGTGTATATATACTGTATATATATGTATATGTACAGACATGTATGTACAGACATGTATATATGTATATGCCGCTGTTTCATTTATGGAGCCAGTAACGAAAATAATTTCCCTCTGGGATTATTAAAGTATTTCTGATTCTGGCAGTGACCTGACTCCTGCTTCTGGATAAACATTGATTGTGTGTTCTCCTCTCCAGGTGATTAAGACATGCAAGAAGATGGGCATTCAGACGGTGGCTGTCCACAGCGACGTGGACACCAACGCTGTGAGTCAGCAGCTGCTTTAGGGATGTGGTTTACCTGGGTGTGTTTTTGGCTCGTCTGCTTTAAGGTGGCAACCAGCATCCATCCATGGAGCCACAGGGGAAACGGCTCACTGCTGCCAAGCCTCATTTTAAACTTGCCATGTTAGGAATAGGGATGGGGATGGAAACCCGGTTCTATCAAGGACCCGGTTCCACTTTTTTCAAAACCCGAAAATCAACACCGTTTGGGCTTATCGATACCACTATGGAGTCTGGTGGTTTTTTTATTATTACAATAGTAATTGTGAAATCCGTGTTGTAATCGGCAGCATACAAGCTAGTTAGCTTGAAAAGTAAATAAAGTTTAGACGTGCTGCGTGATGATGTGTTCAGGTTGGCTCAGTAAAACCACAATTAGGTTATCATGATGCGTTCAAGTGTAACGTTAAGGAAAGGGAAATTGAGTTTTTGGCGAGAAACATGAGTAATACAGTTGTATATTGCTCTAATTATTTTAGAATATATAATTAAACTACCGATGCCAACATTTATTAAAAATTACATTTAATTTGAAATACAACTATTTATTTGCTAAATATTGTCGCATCGTCTTTCCACCAAATAACAGAAAAGTGTGGATAGTGGTATCGATAAAGACTCGGATCGATAAAGGTATCCATATCAATAAATATTAACCATCCCCATCCTTAGTTAGGAATAGAAACCTTTGGTCAAATGAATCCAGCTGCAGTCCATGAGCTTTGTATAGATATTAAACAGGACAGAGACTCCTGTCCACAGCCTGTACTGCAGATCATCTGCCTTGTAGCCACCATCTCTGAGTGCTTCGTCTTGGGATTTTAGTTCAATCTTGCATCGATGTATTTCAGCTACTTACCGTTGTTTCTGACTTCAATGTGTGTGTGGTGTGCAGGTCCATGTGAAGATGGCAGATGAGGCCGTTTGCGTGGGTCCTGCCCCGACTAACAAGAGCTACCTGAACATGGA